ATCGTTCTTGATGTGAACAAGTATTGCTCGCTACCACGGAAACACGGAATACATGATTGCGTTGTAGCATTTTTGTACAACTATATCATTATCTTTATAGTTATCGTTCTTGATGTGAACAAGTATTGCTCGCTACCACGGAAACCATGTTTAACACTTCTCATAGCTATGTGAAAAATATCTGTCTGTCTATACACATAAAGTGTATAACTGGAACACAGTTCTTTGATGGAGCTGACAGGCTGATAATCTGAATGTGTGAGTGTGAGTGTGAGTGAGAGAAAGAGAGATGCGTGTGAACAGGTTTAAGAACCGCTGCTTTAGAACATTGACTTTGAAACATGTGAATCCATTAGAATCATTAGAAGACAGAATCGCGATTCATATATGAATACATTTTTCCGTGCACCCCTAGTTTTGACAGCATGGCAGCAACTCTTCTCTAAAGCAGCACAACATGGCCTGTTGATTTTGCAGATATTGTTTATGCTCAAACAGCAACATTACACACTAACTAAAGTAAAAAAAAAAAAAAGTGAAACCACAATCAACCACCCCTTTAAATAAAGTGCAACCAGGCTCTATCAAGTACATTTTTTGTTACATACATAACACAAACAACACATTAAACTCACACCACGAAAATCAACCTCCAAGAACTTGTCAAAAAAAATTGAAAGAACTGATGCGCTACTATTCATTTAATAGTTGTGAAAGAGTAAAAAGTCTGCACTGATGGCGCAAAGTCATACTCACCCCCCAGTTGTCATAAACACGACCTTTCGGGCAATTTGTGTAAATATCCCCATCACTGCCTTTCTCTTCTTTACTGCTTTTCATAAAACGATAGATACAAATAATTAGTAAAAGTTCTGATATATAGTTATGTAACAAATATTATATTATACACTACAGTCAAAAGTTTTAAATCATTAAGATGTCCTGTTTTATAATATGAGCCTTTTCTGCTCACCAAAGCAAAACAATACAGTAAAAACAGTAATATTCTAAAATATTATTACAATTGAATGTAAATATTTTCTATTTTAATATATTTTAAAATGTTATTTATTTCTGTGATGCAAATCTGAATTTTCAGCATCATTACTCCAGTCTTCAATGTCACATTATCCTTCAAAAATCAATTTGATATACAATTTGAAAACAGTTATGCCACTTTTTGTGGAAACCGTAATACATTTTTCTTCAGGATTCTTTTATGAATAGACAGTTTAAAATAATAACATTTATTTGAAATCTTTTGTGACATTTGGAATATGTCATGTTTAAACAATTTAGCGCATCCGTGCTGAAAAAAAGTTTTAATTTCATTAAAAAAGATGATGTTACCCCAAACTTTTGAATTATTTTTTTTAATCAGTAATTAAAAAAACATTAATGATTCTAAAACTTTGACTTGTAGTGTATATACGTTTATAATATATATATATATACTTTTCTAAATCAGACTTGTTTTGGGTTATCTTCATTTCATTCTGCTCATTCTTTATTACATGTAGTTGTGCAGCTCTCTTCCCACTGAAAAAAAGAGGGATTTTAAAGTTGCCAGGAAACAAAGGAGTAACAAGACCCATTGATTGAGTGAGTCAGTGAATGAGGGATGAGAGATCCTTACCAGCGTCTTGCCACAACATACACTAAAATGCAGGCTAAAACAACTACAACAGCTGATGCAACAGCAATGTATATTATTATGCCTGTGAAAAGAAACAAATATTTAAATGAATTATATGCGATTATTATTATGCAATAAAACAATGATAGAGTGTTTAAAAGATGAAGTCTCACCATTTTGAGGTGCTTCCAAAGTTATGGAAGAGCTCCCCAGACTGTTATTGGCAAAACACTGGATAGTCTCAGGGAAACCCAGCCAACCCTGTAAGGTGAATATGGTAAGAGACTCATTTTGTTTAATGCTGGTGCTGGAGAAGGCTTTCGAGGAATCTGGACCAAAACACTTGACTTCACTGGGAGGGTTGGAGTCCACAATACAGACACACGCCGTCAAAATCTTAGACTGGCAAGAAGATTCACTTTTAATCTCAGGAGGATCTAGACAGACAGATATCATACATTATAAACAATTATCTTCTTTCACTAAAAATACCAGTTTAAACTGTTGAACCGATGCCTTACATAATATATTAAGTTTCTGTGGACCAGAACAGTTTTTTCCCTCTGTGTTAATGGCTGTACAGGAAATGGCCTCCGTATGTCGAGACACTTTCTCCAGTTTGTAAGTGGGGTTCTCTGCTAACCTCTTCCCATTTGAGCTGAACCACTGGTAGCTGTTTGCAGGAGGATTGCTGTTACTGGAGCAGGTCAGTTCCACAGAGTCATTCTCCTTCACTGAGGATTTAGTGAGCACGTTTACATTATATGGAGGATCTGATTGAGACAAAATGTTGATAAAATGACAAACATTCAGTTCAAAGGTACCAATTAAAGGTGTTAAAGGTTCTTCATAAAACCATAGATGCCAATAAAGGGCCTTCATTTTTTTTTTACGAATGTAGCAGCCTTTCAGTGATTAAAATGCTACAATGGACACACCTTAAAGAAATATTCCAGGTTTAAAAAAAACTTAAAACAAGATGCAAGGTCAATGCACCTATAAGGAAGTGAAAAACTGTGAGAATATCCAGAACTGCCTATGTAAACTTTTTTGTTGTTGTTGCTTAGTAGACGAATCACACAATAACATTACTTTCATTAAAAACATATTTAAGTAAGTTTTATTTTTCAGTTCTTTTTACCATTTCCTGTGCACTCGTCGGGGCCAGTGGGAGTGCAGACCACTAAAACATTGAGTATTTTAATGTTTACGGATTGCGCTTCCATTGTAATTATTGTAATTGTCTCACAGTAACTCAGAGTTGCAGACTTGAATCGACTTCAACTTAACTAATCAGCTAATCCTGGAATATTTCTTTAAATTTAAAGGTGGCATGTTTAATTTTGTCCATGTTAAAAATACTTTCTCTAATCAAGAAAGGTTCAGTCACACATAATACTTGGTACTTACACAGCACGTTAATTTTCTGTGGACCAGAACTGTTTTTTCCCTCTGTGTTAAAGGCTGTACAGGAAATGGCCTCAGTATACCGAGACACTTTCTCCAGTTTGTAAGTATGTTTGTTTCCTAACAACATCCCATTTGAGCTGGACCACTGGTAGCTGTTTGCAGGAGGATTGCTGTTACTGGAACAGTTCAGTTCCAGAGAGTCATTCTCCTTCACTGAGGATTTAGTGACCACGTTTACATTATATGGAGGATCTGAATGAGACAAACGTTTGATAAAATGCTATGTATTATGTCAATGGTCTGATCAGTCTGACTCTCAAACATTCAGTTCAAACATACAGTTTTTCTCGATTGCTAAAACACATTTCTTGATATAATGCCTTTTTTTTTGCGAAACTCAAAACACACATCCATAACTTCTAACTCAATTCCCTAAACTTCCTATATTCAGGTCAAAATGAAGCTCTCCACTCAAAAAAAACAAAAAAACTCAGTATTGCTGAAAAACCAAACTTTGCTCTCAGACATGACACACAAACCCTCAATAACACACACACACACACACTACAACACAGTCTTACACACTGATGAGATAAATTCAAAACAATATTTCAAAAACCAGTAATAAGTTATGTTGCTTGTGGTTCTCCCCCAAAAAAACTTTTCACATGATGAGCACAACAAATGTATGCATAATAATATAAAATAATTACTGTATTCTGCCCCAGCATCCTGTCTTTTTTGTCTGGGACAGGCCAAAGAACCTCGTCAATATCACAGGCTATACTGGCCCTGGCCAGGCAGCGGGGGTGAAATATCCTTGCATGCCTGATCCATCCCTGGCATCAACATCAACTGAAATATCCAGGCAGGCTTCTCTCATGGAGGTGAACACGGATGTAAGGGTCTTGGTCATATACTTTTCACCGCCATGCCAAAAAAAAAAAACTCCTCTATATACATTTAAAAATAAAGGTGCTTCACGATGCCATAAGAACCTTTTTGTCTAAAGGGTTCTTCCATAAAGAACCTTTAACATCTGAAGAACCTTTCTGTTTCACAAAGGGTTCTTTGTAGCGAAAGAAGGTTCTTCAGATTATAAAAAGGTAAGAAAGAGATGGTTCTTTAAAGAACCTTTGACTGAATAGTTATTTGTGGAACCAAAAATGGTTCTTCTATGGCATCGCTTGAAGAACCTTTTGAAGCACCTTTATTTTTAAGAGTGTAGGGTTTAGAAAGGGATAGTATGCAGACAGAAAGATGTTCGAAAACCTCTTTCTCCTTCTCCCCTTCCTCTCCGTATTCCTCCTCCACCTCCTACTCTTCCTCTTCCTTCTTTTCTTCCTCCTTCTCCTCCTCTCTGGTGTCCTCAACCTCTTCCTTCACGTCTCTCTGGATCCATCGTTTCGCACATGAATGAGCTGATTTTGGCCCTTTTATCTCTCCATCGAAGGTTCTGATTGGTGTGTGATAAATTTTGACTTCTAGAGTTTCCGTTTGGGTAATTGTGTGCTAATTGAGCTCAAACTGTGCTGACTTGAGTGAACAATATTGAATGCTAGTGCTTTGTGAATAACCACATGGTGTAAGCACTGAGAAATGTAGGGATTTGTGTGTAGAGTTTTGCAGTAACAGTTCACCAAATCTGACTTATGTGTCAAAGCAGGGGAATAGTGTTTATAGTTTAGGGAAATGGGTGTGCTCTTTAAAAAAAAAATGATGTTATGGTTTTGAAATTTTAGTTCAAAAGCCTGGTTATAGTGTTTTAGCAATCGAGAAAAACTGTAATATAAGATATAATTTGTCTTACACTCACATAGCGGACTTACATTTAACTTTGAGTGTTTTGTAGCCTGTCACTGTCTTCCCTTTAAACTCTGCAGAGCAGCTGAGGCGTTTATTGTTGTCTTCTCTAGAAGGAGTGAAGGTCAGGCTGTAAGATGTAAGCTTCCATTGACCATGATTTTGTGGCTGTGATGGACTTGAATGTGAGCCATCATGGCTCCAGGAGACACGAGGCAGGTCTGACGGACTGTGTGTGTGTGTGTGTGTGTGTGTGTAAAATTCACTCCAAAACGACTAAACATTGATTATTTACAATTTAAAACAGCTGTCATACATGATAACTATTTTATCTAGTTACATTTTACTAACCTCTGAGCCAGAGAAAGAGTGACAGTAAACAGCTCCAGAAAACCATCTCAGCATCAAAGTTCAGCACCTGGGAATAAATGTTGTCATCATTTACGGCGCTTCATTTACCAGTAACCACTAAGTACTGTTTTTGAATGACAGAACATAGTTTCATTTTTCACTGTTAATGGAGCACGTGCATTATTTAATAAGGGATTTAAATAGTCACTGTGTAGAAACAATATAAATTAGTAACTTACTTACTGTTCTGTCCTCAAACTGTGCCTGAGTTCATCAGAAGAAGACTTGTGCGCTAAATATCCGAGAGCTTCCTTCCCCCTATATCTGGCTGAACCTGATGCTTGTGATAATTTGGTCACTTCCTATTTCAAAGGCTTCTGAAAGACTGGCTGTATATATATATATATATATATATATATAT